GGTGCGCTGCTGCTGGTGGTGGTGGTGGTGGTGGTGCTGGTGGTGGTGATTGCTCTAGCGCATGCAGCGGGGCAAAAGGGTACATTTGTGGGCTTCTACAACATTGCGAGTGCTGCAAGTACCACGACCAGTTGCGTCGGCCAGACTCGAACACCTGCTTACACATGCACGCTACGGCGTTGAGATTAAAGAGATGGCTTCCTTTGGCATGCGGTTGAACTGTTTAGATTTCCAATTTCACACCTTGAAATGTGTTCCCGAATACATGCGACATGACAGCAGCCAGGGTTTTAAGCTTAGTTCAACGATGTCTGAGGTACCGAAACCTGATCACTACAAAGACATTCTCGAGCACCCAGACCAGCCATTTCCGCGACAAGGTGCATGGACACCATGCAGCCAGCACTCCGCATTCATGCCTGAGGCCCGGAAGTCGAAGCAAATTACCAAGACCCGGCTAAAGCTTCTGAGACATAGACTCCCAACAACACCTTTGTTACCCTGGCACACAAAGATCCGATCCAGCCCCGATACTAGCCGTATTGTCACCATGATTAGAGGCTTTCGGGGCTCTGCTATGAACGCCAGGACGGCCAACTCTCTGGAAGCGGCTGCAATGCCGACATTAGCACGGCAAAGTGCCAAGCTGAGATGGGGGCAGTCGTTATCCGGAAACTACACTCTCTGGCCAAGCTGCTCCACTTGGTGGAGTGATGAGAGTGCCAGCCGAGGAAAAATAGAGAACTTCAGGAGGGGCTGTAGCGCGTTCTCTGTGAACGTAGTAGGTTTACGCAAGTCTGAAGTCGATCGAAAACTTACAAGGCTTGAGGGCTATGGTTCTGGTGAGGGGTACATGGCATGGCCATGGCCGGCTACCCCTGTCGCTGTAAGCCGCGCGCTGGCAGAATGCAGCAGACGACCAGCATCACCAGCGTTATGACTTCTTGTGCTTGCAATATTCAGCCGACCAACGCTTTTCACAGAATGCCATGATTACGCTTGCACCTTGTCGTTAGTGTTTCCTGCTGGTCGTGTTGCTGCAGCATTGCTGCTACTCGTACTGCTAGTGCCAGTGCCGCTGCGACTGTTGTTTCCGTTGCCCTTGCAGTGACTTCTGACACCGATGTTGCCGGTGTCGCTGCACCACCGCTGCTGCTGCTGCGAATACTCTGCAGCACCCGTCCCGAGTTTCAAACTTTGCTGGATTCTGATTGGACTCCGCTCTTCTCGACCATGGTCTTTGCGGCGGCGGGACCCATGGGCCCGTGGCGTCGTGGTGGGCCCGTGGTGGGCCCGTGGCGGGCCCGTGGGTCCGTGGGCCCGCTGGTCATTGGCAGAGTGGGGGACGTTCTGGGAAGGATAGCTGCGAGCCGCAAAAACATAACATGACGTAGCATAACATAACGAAACATAACATATCGTAGCATAACATAACGTGACATAACACAACACAACATAACATAGCATAACAAAGAACATACCACACGCACACACACACACACACACGTAAATACAAAGCATAGCAAGTGATATGGCACATGCATGTGCCCATGTGCCCACGCACAGACACAAACACATACATACACACACACACACACACATATATATATATATAGAGAGAGAGAGACTGACTTTGGCCACAAGCCAGTAGTCAAGGAAATATGTGTGTACATATGCATGCACGTATGACGGTACATACGTAGATGCATAAATACATGCATAACCACGCACTACATATTGTGACCCTGTACAATGCAACATAACATAACGTAATATAGCACAACAAGGAATAGAACAGATGCAAGTACATACAAAACATAGCGAAGAATAGGCCACATGTTTGTACGTCGCAGAAACACACGCGCACACACATAGATATGTACATATATATATATATATAGATATAGATATACATGTGTGTATGTACACACAGATACACTGGTATCTAAACATATATACTTGTACCTACGTATGTATGCACGTACAGACATAGGACCATGCTTGCATGTATACAGACTTACATGTGTACATAAATACATACATACGTACATGCATACTTTCCATACATACATACATGCATACATACATACATACCTACATGAGTACATAAATACATACATACATACATACATACATACATACATACATACATAAACACATACATACATACATACATACATACATACATACATACATACATAAACACAACATATGTACATAAACACATACATACACACATAAACACATACGTACAAGAATACATACATACATACATACAT